ACTTTGGCTCTTTGGTACCATTTAAGTTCCTCCTCTCTAAGCAATTCAGCAAGTCTCTCATTTAAAACATATTTAAGATTTAATTCTGTTCCATCAAGCATAACGTTTTCTGCCTTTTTATCTAACTCATTTAATTTATCTAGAAGCTCTTTCTTCTCTTTCTTATAAGCACCACTTACATTCTTCACCCACCCTCTGAGATGTTGACGCAGCCTCCTAATCTTTGCTTGCCACCTCTCAAGGGGACTACCTTCCACCTCCACATTGAGCCAACCATATCACGAAACCCTTCTCTAAGCAACCACCCCAATTCAAATTTGAATTGTTGTTGGTAAGTCAGAGAAGAAGTATTTGTGTTGCATAACAGTGGAGTATGATCCGAAATCTCTCTGCTGAAAGCGTGAACAGTTGTAAGTGGATACTTGGCTTCAAAGTCTGTACAAACTAAAATTCTATCCAACTTTTCAAAAGTTTGATTTTGCAAATTATTTGCCCAGGTGAACTTTCTACCTGTCAGCTCTAACTCTCTTAAATTTAGAGTATCGATAACCGCATTGAAAAGAAAAGGCCATCTATCACTGTAATTACTATTATTCTTCTCAGTTGGGCTACGAATAATATTGAAGTCACCACCCATTATAATAGGTACGGTCTCCTTCGAACATACTCTAACCAATTCTGATAAGAATTGTGATTTGAACTCCTGCTGTGCTGGGCCATAAACTAAAAATAAATTAAATTTAAAATCATCTTCTTTATGGCGTAATTTAAATCTAATAAAAAAGTTACCCTCTTCTATCTGACCAATATCAAAAATTTGAGGATTTATCCCAAGAATCATGCCACCAGATCTACCTCTCGGAGCCATGCAATGCCAAAGAAAATCTCTACCAGCGCAGATATTATTCAATGTTGTTTGCGACAAACTGGCCCTCCAAGTCTCAGATAAAGCAATAAAATCTAAATCCTTTTCTTTTGTCAAGTCAGATAGAAATCTGTATTTCTTTGAATCTGCGAACCCGTTACAATTCCAAAAAATTCCTTTCATCTTGAACAATTTTTATTTTTTTTATTGTTTCTCTTTGGTTTAACCTTCTTAGATCGTGATACAGGGGTCTACAGACACAAAGGGTCGCAGCCCCCATCACAAAAATCTTCAGCAATATCAACACAAATTAAATTTAGCATCTCTAAGTCCACGGTTTCTTCAACAGAGCAAACAGTAGAAGTATCATCAATGACATCATTCTGAATATTTAACACATTACTCGAAGTTATTCTACTGGATTCAAGATCTTTTAAATTTTTAATTGATTCTAAAATTTCCTGTGCATTGGATCCAAAAGAAACACCTAATATACTAGCTGACTGCAACATAATAGAATCATCAAAAGAATCAAAAGACTGGGTTTGAATTTCTTTACCTTTGAGTGAAGAGTTTTCTAGATTTTTCTGCGCTTTTAATTTCGAAGCTTTCTCCAAAGAATCTTGCTCCGATGTAGACGCGTTCCTCTTGCTAGATCTCACTGGTGACACTGTCCCACTACATAGTCCTTTATTCAGCATACTAGTTTTCCACTGTGCAGAGCCATCTGGAGGAATTCCAGTCTGGGAGAGCAACACCATAGGCTTAACTGAATTTTCCTTGATCACCACTAAGTCCTCCTGGACAGCGGTTGCCTCTGTACTAATATCAGCCATTAGCGCAGCCAGCTGCTCAGTAGGCGCACCTGTGGCAGTGTTATTCCCCTGCTGTCCGCTTAGTGGCACTGATGCATTAGACTGTTTCTTAGGTACTTGTCCCTCTGGTTCCTGTTTCTTTTTGTCAGCATCATGATCCATATCCTCCGGATCCCCTTTTGGATCTTCATCCTCGTCCGTGGTAGAGTCCATGTCTATGACCTGGGGCTCACCATCAGACATGTCTTTCTCCACTCTGAATTGTACCTCATAAACAAAATCCCCAATGACAACATCCACTAGATTTGGGATAATATCAAGATTCAGCACTGCTACTTTCATTCTGGTCCTTCCATATTTTTTTGTGAATTTCATATCCACCGCACGAGGAACTCCCAAAATTGTGCCAATTGCCCAAATAATAGGGAACTCTCGAAATTCTTTTGGAAGGCCCCTAAATTGCACCCACACTTTATCAATTTCATATTTATATACCTCATTTTCAACCCCCTTCTCGAACCGGATCTTTCCTTTCACGGTCTTAGTATCCATTGGGCCCCAGTTCACAATGTGGTTAAGCACTTCAGATGTGGAAAAATTAGTGATAAAGGCATCAGTACCCTTTTCAGAAATCACCCAACTATTTCCAGGTAGTAGTTTGTCCAGTTCCACTGCTAATTGATCAGCAGTAAGAGAACCTTCCAAAACACGTACCACAGCTGATTTATCCTCTGAAGTTAATTTTGGATTTTCTGCCACAGGTATAAAATAGAAGCCCAAACCTTCTACTGCATAACCGCAAGGTATAGCAGTAGAGTTTAGATTTTTCAAATTTGGACAAACTTTCTTGACATGATCACCAAAACATAAATCGCAACAAAGCACCGTGGTACAAACGGACATTGTATGACCTTTAGTATGGCAACGATAACAATAAGGTTTACCCTTGCTTTTATGGTTCCCTCCTTTATGAGATGACTCTGGCACATCTAGCATTGCATGAGCAGGATTTAAAATTGGTGGGACAGTGTTCACCAGCTGATTGTCAATTGTAGACGACGTCGCCTTGCCCGTTGTAGTTTGTACGTTGATCTGCATCACGGGGTTAGGCACAGGTCCATGCGCCTCACCCCCCTGGACTCCAGCTAGCCCCCCATTCGCCTGACCAGGGTGACCACCAGCTGCAGCACCTGCTGGTCGAGGATGGCCGCCAGCTCCTGCACCAGCCGGCATTGGTTGGCTGCCTGTTGGTGCTCCGGCCAGCTGCGGCTGGCCACCGGCTGCTGCGCCGGCCGGCTGCGGCTGGCCATCCCCTGCCGCTCCGACCATTTGCTATGTATGGGCAGCCGTAGTCGTGCCACCTGGTTGGAAGGCCACTTGCCCTCCCGCTGCAGCTCCAGTCATCATTGGCTGTCCACCGGACACGACCCCAGCCGACTGCGGCTGGCCACCAGGCATGACCCCGGTCGGCTGCGGCTGTCCACCAGGGGCCCCTCCAGTCGGATGATGACCCGCACCAACAGCAGCTCCTGCTGCCCCGGCGTGGAAGCCATGGTAGGCCCCGGATGGCGCCCCGATCTGCTGGAAACCTCCGTGATTAGGTCCATAACCCTGTCGTCTAGGGTTCCAATTTCCACGGCCACAGTGCGCGCCATAGCCCTCTCCGAATCGACCACCTCCACGGCCATGGCCATGGAAGACGGGATTATGATTCCCGTAGCCGCCATGGCCACCGTACCCGCGGTTGCGACCACGCGGGTAGGGCTGGTTGCGTCCTCGACCTCGTCCCGCCAACCCCGGATCGAAGCTGGGTTGAAAGCCTGGATTGTAACCTGCTCCTCGTCCTCTTCCTCGACCACCAAAATCACCTCCATTAGCACCCCCAAACTCTGCCATTTTTTCCCCTCACGCACGACTTCGGCGTATGACGGTTTGGTGCTTCGTGGCGGCGCTGTCTTCTTTTTCTTCGCGACCTTTGCTACGCGCTTGGTTCCTGTACGGCTGAAGAGAGCGCACAGACCTTTGGTGGGTCGAAAAAATTTGCCGGGCCCAATTAAAACTTGATCGTCAAGCCCATTACCCCACTGATCTGCTTCCTTCCCCACACGAGGCCGGGCGCACTCAGCCTTGGCTGGAAACGCCGTAGCCGCGACCTTGGTCGCACTTCGTGGTAGAGGCGGAAAAACAGGATCGGGAATTTCTTCTGGGGATTCAAAAGAATTTGAAAATTTTTCTGGCTTCGCCGGAACCGATCCCGAAGGTGGCCTCGGAGATCGTATTAACCTCGATCCACCACGAAGACCGATATCCCGCTGAATAGCCTTCTCAATAAGATCCCCAAGTGTTCTTGGCGGCGAAACTCTAGGTTCCGGCAATGGACCTTGCCATGCTTCCCCAACGAATTTCCTGTGTAGCATCCCGGCAATAATTGTTTTTGGAAGACGGAGATCATCAGATGACGGAGTTTTACCTGAATGAAGAACGTGTTCCGCCTTGGCCAGTTGATCACACGTGAAACCCGCATCAACAGCCTCCTGGATGAACTCCGGCGTCGATGGATCCGGGCCGTCGTCTTGATCTGACTCGTCGGCTGTCGCCCAGAACTTGGACTTAATTCGGTCTCCATGCACTGGATGTGGACGATGGCTTAACTCCACAGCCATGGCCACGGCTCGTGAGAGGGCTTCACGTCCCTCCGCGCGTCGATTTTCTTCCTCCTTCTCGGTTACTTCTTCTTCGTCCTGCGCTTGTGATCTCCTCAGAGCGTGCATGGTCGCCGGAGCCAACGTAAGGCGCCTCCTCCTCGTTAATTTTCTGGTGGGTCGCGACCCCGCCGGTAACACCGGAGATCCTGCTAGCACGCTTTCATCATCGCCATGCGATTCTGGAGCAGGACATGGATTGGAAATCCTCTCTTCTTTCAGCCCTTGCCGCTTCTTAGAGGAAGGGGTCTTATCTTCATCTATCAGCCGGTAGAAACGATTTTCACCAAATTTCGGTGAATTTCGGCCGAAATTCTGAACTATGGGCAGCACAATATATTGCATAACTGCGAAACGGCATACCGGCCGTGTAAATGCGTGCGGGCCATATACTTTGTTAATTAGTCAGTAATATAACAGTAAGATAACTATTTTTACAGTTACATGATCAGATGAATTATGAAATGTGAATAGCTGTGATTCCACAGAACGGCACGTACCTAAGGAACGGGCCAGGTCTGTGGGACGTCGGCGACCACTCCTTCCACCACATATTCGACGGCGAGGACGCGCCACCGGCGCACATCGTCAAGTCGAGTCGGACGGTACAAAGCTGCCATGGCGCATGGTCGGCCTGTCCACCGGGAGTTCTCCCAACTGTGTCCCTCCGAGCCCGGGAGCCTGCTCGACCGCGTGCGCAACGTCGTCGGCCTCGGAAGTGGCACTTTGCTCTCCGACAACGCCAACATCTCCGTGCTGCCGCTCGGTGACGAACGGGTGATGTGCCTCACGGAGACCACCAAGAGCTCCGTTCTGATAGACCCGGAGACGCTCGACACCATCGGCAAGTTCCATTACACGGACCGGCTATGGGGCTTGCTACAGACCACGCACCCGGTTGTGACAGGGACCGAGTTGTTGACGCTGCTCCCGGACATCTTCCGGCGTGGCCATCGTGTCGTCAGGATGGCAGCCGGGAGCAACGAGAGGAAAGTGATCGGGAGAGTGCATTGTCGGGGAGGGCACGCACCAGGATGGGTGCATTCGTTCGCTGTCACGGAGAACTACATCGTCGTGCCGGAGATGCCCCTCCGATACTCTGTCGCTGGCGTTCTCAAGTCTCAGCTGACACCTTGGTATCTCTTCGACTGGCTGCCGGAGTCTGGGAGCTACATGCACATCATATGCAGGTTCAGTGGAAAGACTGTAAGCACTATTAACATCACCATTACGTATTTACTAATGTTGATCTTTCGCGGATGATGTTCTTGATGTTTACATGTACCTCTTAGGTGGCGAGCGTGGAGATTCCTCCGTTCATGGCATTACACTTCATTAACGCATACGAACAAGGAGATGCGATCATTGCTGACTGTTGCGAGTACTATGCTGATCCTTCTGTCATCAAGGCACTTGCACTGCATAGACTAAGATCTCCCGCAATGAACAAGGATGCATTCCCTGATGCTAGGTATGCATGTGCAGCCTGAGCTACAAGAATTTATTATTTGACAAGTAATTTTTATATCCGGTATGCATGTGCAGGGTTGCCCGATTCAGGATACCACAGGATGGAAATAGACCCCCCATGGGCGAGCTGGAGACTGTGCTGGACCCTGTGGTGCATAGCTGGGGAGTGGAGATGCCTTCCATCAATCCGGCTTACCAGGGTAAGGAATACCGTTATGTGTATGCCTGTGGCGCGCGAAGGCCATGCAATTTCTTGAACTCCCTCACCAAGATCGACCTTGTGGAGAAAGAGGCCAAGAACTGGCAGGAGCTGGGCTCTGTGCCATCGGAGCCCTTTTTTGTGGCGAGGCCAGGGGGGCTGATGAAGATGACGGTAAGTATTATTGCTGAAATAGTTTCTTGGGGTCATGATTTGTGATTCATTTGGACCATAAGAATGTTTGGAGGGGTTGTGATCTCCAATTCTCCATCGTGAGCACCATGGAAGGTGATGGGTATGCGCTACTGCTGGACGCCGTGACTTTTGAAGAAATTGCTCGAGTAAGGCTCCCCTACGGCCTACCATACGGCTTCCACGGCTGCTGGATTCCAGAGAATGTATGAGAACGCCGTATTGCCCCTCAGTTCAATACTGAAGCATGACCTATCAATTACTCCAGTACATCGATATGTATTCACATACAAATGCAGAAATCCAATTGGTAGCTATGATTTTACTATCCCACATCACCATGGTGTTGACAACCAAATTTATCTAGAGTACGTAACAGACTCTGCTATCATATTTGATATTTCTATCACCGAGACGGTCAGAAAGCATACTTCGATCATCTCGTTTCGAGCCCGGACAAAGAAAACAACTTCTCGAGGGCTGACCCAATCGGGATTTTCAAACTTCCTCAAATGAAAAAAGGGATTGCACAATTGCATTCATCTCGTCGAGGTGATCCAAAAAACATATATGGATCGTCTTGTTTGGAGTCCAGATTAATTAATGATGATTTTCGAAAGATTTTCTACCTCGACCTGTACAAACCAGCCAGGACGGTTTTTTTTTTAGAATTACACACTATAATACAGACACCCATGACACACACGCACACTCACCCACTATGAACACACGTATGCAAAACCTACCCCTATGAGCATCTCCGAAGGACTGAGCCGGCAGATCTCAAGATTCACAAAGTCACCACTGGCGCCTCGCTGTCGACGGGGACGTCGCCTACCACTGAAAACATAGTGTCGTTAAATCATGGAATAAATCCAGGAAAATGCGAACACCCGTACCAAGCCGAGGACTTGAACCCTGGTGGACAGGTTCCACCATAATGAACCCAACCAACTGATCTATGATCAATTCGCCGGCCAGGCCGGTTTTGATGGGATAGAAATGGATCTAAATTGTATTTGGACGTGTTTTGCAAGGATAGTTTTTGATTTCTTATGGGAAAGACCACCCCAACCTTATTAATTATAAATACAAGGGGCACGGCTAATTCAAGAGCCCAACACACACAATCAGTCAAAAAGCAATCTACTTCTATCTCTCATTTGTCCTAATCTCTTCCAATCTCATATTGTTCGTTTGATTCGATGACCAAGGACGGTGCCTTATACTTGGTGGCCAACCTAGGCCAATCCGGCGACGTCCTTACCCCGACAGGGTCCCTCCCGGACGAGAGCTTCGATGGTTATCCTCATGTAAACACGATTGGTTATCCTTTGGTGGTTTGCTCATAAATGTCGTCGTTCTTCACCATGTAATTGTGATCTTCACCACCCCAGGGCGTTCTCGGACGAAACCTGAGAAAATCGGTTAGGTCGATTCCCAAAACTAGCTAGGCTGATTTTGGCAGAGTCGTGCTGCCTCAGTTAGTTTGCAACCCATGCGATTTAGCACTTATATATGTTGTGTGACCAATCTTTGTGTCAACACACTTTTTTGTGATTCCACTGGGGACGATTGCTTTGGCTCTACCTTTGTAGCTGAATCTCTCTGCCCTAGCCATATTCTTAATTGATTTGTCTTCTTGTGCTCGCCATCACCGTTGCAAGTAGCCTAAAAGGCCGATTGCATCTGGTTTTGGCCCCTTTTGATATTGCTTGCTGGTGTGCAATGTGTTTCTATTGTAAAAATCAGCAAGGTGGTCGAATTCTTGATCATGGAGTACCAACATGCTGCATCGCAATATTGCTACAACTACCTTGAGGTATGGCTTGCAAATACTTCATATGATTTTAATTCTTATTTTGCAAGTTCCATGAATTCTCATGTTGGTGTTGCCGGTCACAATGATAGTATATGTGGCAGAACCTCCTAAGAAAATCAGGCCCATGTGCACCTATCGATGTCTCAACAGACCTTAGATAGCGTACACAAGTTCCCAACAACTTAACAGGTCTGTCGGGTGTCCTCGGGAAACCCGAATCATCCACGAATCTTTTCCAAACAGGATCTCAATCATAGTCATTGCAGATTACAACAGTTTTCAATATACATACCAGAGATTATAAAGCGGAAGACTTAAGTTTTAATATTACAAACCAGTTGTTTCAAACTTATAAAACCATAAGTGTCATACAACCATAGTAGCGGGATAATATTACATTAACATTATTTATTTCACACAAACTAGTGCCTTGTCCAAAGGCCATTCATCATTCCTCATCGTCATCGACTTCAAACACTAACATGCAACAGGGACCAAAACAAGCCTGCGCATGCGACTCACCTGCAACAAGGGTTAACAAACCCTGAGTACAAAAGTACTCAACAAGACTGACCCGACGAAAAAGGGGCGAAGGTCTTAGGAATGCAGGTGTTGAGTCAAGGTAAGGATGTAGCAAGATTCAAAAGTTCTTTGCCAAAAGCTTACTATTCTTGATCCTATTTTTGAGTTTTACTCCTAAGTACTTTAGTTCATTATCTCCAACTAAGTGTTCATATCCCATATTCCAATCCTTCTCATTCCATTCTTTTTCTCATGTTTTAGTAATTCACCATCCTGCATTGCATTGCTTAATGAATCGAGTCTCCATATCCATGAGCACCGGCAATTCAATTGATTCAAGTCCCAGTTAGGATTCCTTATCACACGACATATGTAGAACTTAATCTTGCATATATCAACCTCGCTCTCGGATTCTCCCATACTAAGCCGTCTCCACGCCACCCGAGAGCACAAAGACGCCTCAAATCCCGCCACATTCAAGCCACGAGGGTACACGCTTACTCCGCCATCTCACCACTCCCGGTCGTGGGCATTCGTCTTAGTATCGGATTAGCCGAAGTAGGCTTACCGGAGTATGCTACAAAGTGTCTCGTTCAGAAGATCCACAATGAGTGGCCTTTAAGCGACATAGTCAGCAACATTACCCAACATTCAAGATAAGCCACCCAACTAGTCTCTAGTTCATTCTATCTTCTTTCTTTCTTTCTTTGGCCAGTATGCCATCTTTGATTGTATCGAAACTTTTACTTTGAAAACCTACCATAAAGCATACTAAGCAATTCTACGCCTTTGTAAATGAAATCATCTTCAAGGATGGTAAACAATCAACAAGGTAGGCAATGCATCAAGTAGGTAACATTTGAATAAATCAACTTAATGCAATAAGTAACATAGGTGATAAACTTTTCAAAGTAAACAAGGTAATGGTTTAATGCATAAACCGGGGCTTGCCTTCGTTGACGATCTCGGGTTCCGGATCAGTACCACAATTATCGAATCCCGTGACAACCGAGGATTCTTCCACAACTTGCTCAACTAGAATCATTTCACTCTCGGATTCTACACGAAATAATAACATATGCTTCAATATGATGATAATGTAAACATGATGCTTTCATGGTACATGAAATGTAAAAACACCTCGAAAACGATTTTCCTTCACGGTACAGTTGCAAGCCAACAAAACCAACTGACAATTCTACCATCAAGAACCACACATGTAATTTGACCAAATGGATCTTGAAACCCTACTAGTCACAAAACATGACCAAAACAAGATCCACCACTAATCAAACACTTAGGGTTTGCCTTTATTTATTTTTGAATAAATTTGGAATTAAGTCCTCCAAATGACCTCAAAAATTTATGTAAGCTTCCTTATGTCAAATTAGTGTACCAAAACAAATTTCATAATTTTTGGAATTATACAGTGGCCTACAAAAATCATGGAAATTGCATTTATTAATTAATGGACTGAATATTTGAACATTTAAAATTTATTCAAATTTCAAGTTTCAAATTTTTAAACCATAATAAAACATGTACAGAAGCTACACACAAATTTTCAGAATTTTTGGAGCTATGATTATTTTCCTACAAATTCCCAAAGTTTTAGCACTATTCAAAATCAGAAAATAATAAAACCTCACTGTTCTTCTCCTTCCTTCTCACTGACAGCCCGACCCCACTCGTCAGTGACTCATACAGGTCACGGTGGCGCTGCCATCACTGGCCGGCCCAAAATGCACCGACGGTGACGCTCCGGCGAGGCAGACCGCACCCAAGTGATCTACACACTCCTACGAACCCATCCCCGCCCTTTGAATGGCAGAAGGCGCACCGGAGAAGACTCCACGCCGGTCATGGAGGCTTGAGCACGACGGCTCCCGGCGTAACCCCGGCAATGGTGTAGTAGAGTCTAAAACAAAGTGAGTATCGCGTTTAGTAGCTCACCACAGTCACGCCGGTACGTTTGGTGAAGACGGAGACGGTCTGGAATGACCTGGCCACGTCGAGTCGATGGTGGCGGAGCTCCGGCCAGGCTCGGGGAAGAAGACGTTGCGCCGGGTGATTTCGGCCAACCCAAGCGACATGAGCAAGCCGCAGAGAAGCGCAAGATCGAGGCGATCGCGTTGGCGTAGATGGGCACGACAGACGCGGCTCTACGATGGCTACGGCGAGCGGTGGAGCTAGCTGGCGGTGGAGCAGGGCAGAAGGGGAAAACGGGGACGACGGCGGCGGCTACTGCTATTTATAGCCGCGAAGGGGTTGCCCGACGTCGACAGCGCACGAACAGACCCGCCACGGCACCAGCTGCGTGTCAATGCGCGAGGAAGCGGCGCAATCTGATCGGTGGCGACATCCGCGTCGCACCGGCGGCAAGCAGAGAGGTGGCGCTCAGACGAATTTCAATTTTGAAGTATTTACAGAATTGCCACTGCGTCTATTTTTCAAATTACTCACAAATTTTCTAAAGAAGTTGAAATTATCCAAAAATAAAAGTTGCTCAACTTTTTAAACTCTACAACTTTGCTTCAAGGAATATTTTCAAATTCTGCCTCCATTTTGAAATTTGAATTTGGGGTGCATTTGAGTATTTGAATCATTTCAAAATTACTCCAAATTTTATATGTAAACTTGAAAAACTTTGAATACTTAAGTGGACCCTTATAAAATAATCTTCAACTTTGCTTTTTGCGTCAACCCCAAATTCCACATGGATTTTGAATTAGTCAAAAGGGTCAAAAAGGACTTTTATAATTTGAATTTGAATTCAAATTTGATTTGTCTTCCTTTTACTTTATCTTTGATTTTTGACCAGTAACATGGCCCATTAGGGTTATTTGAGTCAAATGACACATGGCCTCA